TTAAGACATGTAAATATGTGTAATCATTTAGATGATACATAAGTAAGAGCATAAATTGTCAATTAAATGACAGTAAAAGATTTTAATTAAGATCCTAATTAAGTAGTAGTATAAATTTCATTTAATTAAATATAATTAAATAAAATTAGCTGTAATTAAATAAATTGACTGCATAATACTATAAAAATTAAAATAAATGAGCCTACTTACACTGTAAATCTTTATTCTCATTTGCTTATATTTGAAAAGAAAAAAAAAATATAATTTCTTTTCCAAGTATATATAAAATTCATATAAAACATATATTCTTTTTCTACGTTCAAATATAACAATTATTCATAACTATCCAATAAAAAAAAGACATTTCTGAATTGCTAAAAGATTTATTTAAAATTTTAATGATGAAAAAAATGATACAATTATTGATAATAAATGCATGCAATGAATACCTGTCGTAGTATGATAATGCTTCATCATATTTTTGAAGTTCGATGTAATAAAGTGCAGTATGCCAGTAATTATGACATGCAAGTAAGGAACATTTCTGAAAATAATAAAAATGTTTAAAAAAAAATTCAACGCTTTTAAAGTATTAAAATTTTTTGAAAAGGTTTTTCAGAAATACTTTTCGTTTTTTAATTTTGTGATTACGGAGAAAAAAAAAAGCAAATTTTGTAATTGTTTATGTATGCTATATGCTCAGCAATGAATTCATTTAGGAGAAAAGAAAATGCGTTTTTCAAAAAGATATATGACTCTGCCTTACTTCTCATAAATTTCATCCATCAAATTTTATGCAATTTTCAAAATTAAATATGAAAACTGTATTGTGAGAAGATATTACATAGAATTTGTTTACAGGATGATTAGCTATGATTGAGATTAGAGATCGTTATTATTTGGTTTATTCGAGAAATGATTAAAGTCATTCGAAATTTACTTATATCTCATCCAGGAAAGCTGAAGCTAACATTTTCCTTTTCCTCTAAAACCAACCTTTCATTTCCATTCATTTTACAAACTAATAATTGTTTAATTTATCAAACCGAAATTCTTGCATAGCTTAGGCTTACATTCCAATCGGTTTCAGTTGATTCCATGAAACGAATACCTTCTTCCACACAACCATTCATTTCCATACAATGTGCTAAAGCATGTGTTGCCCAACCATCATGTCTATTCAATTCAAGTCCCTAAAACCGGAACCGGAATCAACTGGATTTCATTTAGCTAAATGCAACAAAAATGTCACATAGCATGGGAAAACATGTACAGAGAATACAAAAAATGGATGATTAAGGTCATTGTAATAATATTTTATAAATTTTAGATAATTAAATTTAATTTTTTTTACTAGTAAAATGAATGAGGACATTTACCTTCTTGGCATATTTTTATTACTAGTAAAATAAGTGAGGACATTTACCTTCTTGGCATATTTTTATTACTAGTAAAATAAGTGAGGACATTTACCTTCTTGGCATATTTTTATTACTAGTAAAATAAGTGAGGACATTTACCTTCTTGGCATATTTCTTAGCCTCATCGTACTGCTCACATTCTTCCAGGCCAAATGCATACATACCGTAAAGGTAGCTCAAATAACACTTTTTACTTATTTAAGCACATGAATGACAGTTGATCTATTCAAAAACTTAAGAAGGAATAACTTTGCATAAAATATTTAATAAATTGATTTATGAATAGAAAAATTGATTTGTCAAAAATATTAACTAAAATGTAAATGCAAAACTATCATTGTTTAAAGTAATTTACAAAAAAAAAAAAATTTTTTTCTTTAATAATTTGACAACTTAGCAAAATTTCAGATTAAAAATCTTGATTGCAAAATTATTTGCTTTATTTTTCTCATAACTAATATATTTTTCTAAATTGTCATTAACTTCAAAAAAAAAAGCAAAAGCAAAAACAAAAACAAAAGCAAAAAAAAAAGAAATCATCGGCTAGAGTTATTTTAAAATTACACTTTAGACATATTACCCAAAATCTAAAAAATCGAGAAAAAAAAAAAAAAAAAAGGAGAGAATTAAAAAACCTATAGCACGGTGTTGTTGATTTCCATTTTGGTATTACCCGGGCAATACTATCTCGAATACATTGTTTATTACCCAAATAAAAGTATGCGTCTTGTGCAAATTTTAATGCCAACAAATCATTTGGTATTTCATTCAAAATTTTTTCCCATTCTTCACATGCTGCTAACATTTTACTGTAAAAAAAAAAAAAAAAAAAGAAAGAAAAATTGCTTCAATTTTTTCGACTAAAAATTACTTTTAATTTAGAATTTTTTTTTTCTTCCTCACTTAATAATAATAAAAAAAAAAGTTAATTTTGATTTGTTGATTTGATCTATCTACTAAAGTATCAGACAATAATCTGTCATACTGACATTCTTGGTAAGATTGAATGAATTTATTGCAATAGTAATTTTAAAGTGTATAATGATAATTTCAAATACTATCTATCTCAATTTTAATTGTAATAATAATAATAATAATAATAAAGTTAATTGATTAAATACTAATTAATTAATTAATTAATTAGTGCAATGACTAACTCATTAGCAAACAAATGGATAGCTTTAGCATGATTTCTCTCATATATGGTACCATATTTTGTTGCATCATTTAACAATTGGTTTAATTGATTGCGATAATTTTGATCTAATCGTATCGATCGACCTGTTCCCATCACTTCCAAACCCAATGAGATTACTCGACTCATTACTAAAAACTAAAAATTTATGTGAATAGCTAATTAAAAAAATGAAAATATTTAAATATGCGAACGACTGAAATCAAAATTTATTATTATATTTATCATTATATCATATTCTTCACTATTATCTTATCAAATATGATTTGATAATTAAAAAATAATTATAATACAATAGTGCAATATTATAAAGTTATGTATAAAAATGCTTCACAATTATTTTTTAAAGATTAAAAAATAAGATAATAATTGATAAGATAGTTGAAGAGAATGTGATATAATGATAAAATTATCAAATGATATTTACTTAGTCAATCATATCATTCTTATCATCTCATACATCAAGTGTAAATAACACGTAAAAAAAAAAACACGTAATACGTTATCTTACTAGCACTTGGCTCTGCTTCAAGCATTATTCGAAGCGTTTGATCCATTCCACCTAATTGTACACAGTCACTCCACGAAACGTATTGACGTAAAAGAGCGTCAAATAAACGTGCTGCTTCATTGGAAGTGGTTGAAATTTGAATACCTTCCGCTTTCCAAGCCTTTTAATTTTTTTTTTTTTTTAAATGTATTTATTTATTTTTTTGACATTTTATTTACGAATTAAGTAGAATTTAACATTTTTATAATCCTAATTACATGATAGCAATAAACTGTTTGCAAATAATAAATTTAATTTTATCATTTCAAAATAGAAATAAAAATCAAATAGCATAAAACGAAAAACTAATATTTTTTTTCGAACAAAAAACTAAACTTTATAATACAATAAAATTTTCAACCTTTTTTTAATTTAATTATTTGCTTTTTATCTCTACAATAAATATTTTATTAATGAAATTCTTATTTCTGATACAAATTTAGAAATCAAACATCCAAAAAAAAAAGAGAGGAAATGAAACATTGTCGAATAAACAGTTAAAAATAAAAAGGAAAAAAAAATTTAAACCTGACAGTCGCGTAAATTCTCAGCGCACCATTCAGCCATCTATAATTTATTATTTATTTTTTAATTTCATATTATTGATTTATCAAATGGTTATTTCCTTGCCATACAATAATATATGATTAAAATTATTGCATACATAAATCAAAAATTTAACAATGAATGATATTTGAAAATTAAATAAATAAAAATTGCAATTAATTATTTTTAATATTACTAAAACTCGTTTATTTTATTGGAAATGAAACTTGTTTAATCTATATGAAAAGTGTTATTATCATTACTATTATCAATAATTATCACTATAATGATCTAAGATTTAATTATAATTGTGATTTCAAAGGTACTTGTAGAATTTAAAAATTTCAATATAATAACAATAAAGCTTTCCATAAACAGTCTGATAATTATGTGAAACTGATCTGTTCAACTGATTTCTATCTACAATTTTTTTTGCTAATTATGCAATAATTAGAGATTAATTATAAATTAAAATATAACATTGCCTTTCTTTTCATTTTATTTTTAGCAAGATTGAAAATAAAAGTAATATAAAACATAAAAAATGATAAAGTGATTAAAAAAATTAATTTATTTTCAGCTGAAAAAAAAGTTTAAAGCGATGTCATTTAAGATTAAGAAATAAAAAGCAATTATAAAATGTTAACTGTCCATATTACAGATTTATATATAATTGTTTAAACTTTAATTTTTTTTTTGATATAACTTAATTTAATGTTGTGAAGTACATTTAATTGTGACTTTATTTATTAAATCTATTTATTGATATAACAAAAAAAGCTGTTTTTGCTAAATTTATCATTGTACTAATATTATCAATTATTACTACAATTATTTGTATAAGTGTTATTTCGGCAAATTAATAAATAATATTTTGTGTTTTATTAACCAATTTAAAATTATATTCCCTAAAGTGTTAAATTGGAAATAATATCAAAATAATTTGAAATTTTGTAAGAAAAAAAAAGAAATAATCGTAAATCCTTTAAAATTTATTCGTTTTTCTCATTGTTTACAGCATCATTTTGAATCTTTTGTTTTTTTTTTTTTTCTTTTTTTTTTGTAAAAATTGTAAAAAAAAAAAAAAAACGATGAAAGAAAAAAAAAAAAGAGAAAAGATGGAAAAGAAAAGAAAAAGAAATTAAGAAATTACAGAGTGTAACGTTTCAATCATCAGAAAGGAGTGGTTTAGGAGCATTTAAGAATGAATGGAAATTGATAGAAATGAAATGTCTATCAGCAGAGGGTCAAACGCTGTTGAGAGCTTGCTTATTTGGCATGTCATCAAATGTCACCAAATAAACTGACGACGAGTTGTAGCGTCCGAAATTTTTATCGTCATCGATGCTACTGGCAATGTGATAGAGAATGGAGTGATAATTGTAGTAGTAGTAGTTGCAGTAGTGATAATAACAGTGATAATGATAATAGTAGTATTAGTATTAGTAGGACTTATTGTTCGTTAAATTTAATTAATTTTCGAACCATTCTTATCATTTATTGTATTATTATCATCATTATCAATGTTGTCACGACAAAAGATATCGCACAGCAAAGGTAAATTCAATCATATTTGTTTACATTTTATTATTTAGCATTATATGAAAAAAAAAAAAAAAAAATATTAATTAAATATATGATAAAAATTTTTAATCGAAATAATTCCTTCATTTCTATATTTATTTATTTGTCAAATTTTTTTTCTCTCTAAAATTTAAATTGATTAATATAAATAAATTTAAATTTTTAATTAAAATATCATGAGTAAAAAAAAAAAAAAATATTTTTCCTCTACACATAAAAAATAACTCTTTTTTTTTGAAATTTTTAAAAAAAAAAATGAATGAAAATGAAATGAAATATTCATTAGACATTTGTTTATTTTATTAATTAATTTAATTAAAATATTCCAATATTTAATTATCATCTTTATAAGGCAATAAATATTGCACTGTTATCGATTTATGCTAATTAATATAATTAGTTTCATTAGAGGTGCTAGTGTAAAATTAATGGTTCTTTTCAAAATTTACTACTTCACTTGAAGAAATTGATTTAATTGTTTAAATAGATAGGTAGGTATACGCATCGTTTCATATTATCATAAATTACAACAACCATCTCATCTCAGCAAATTGATGATATTAGAAATGGCATTTGATGTTTACAACTACAAATTTGCCTTTTTTTTTTTTAATGAGTTTGAAAGAAAAAAATTTGGCTAAATTACAAATTACTTTTTCTTTTGAACAGTTTAAAAGAACTTTTTGTGTACATTTGTATATGTATATGTGTGATGTAATATAATTGAAAGTGATTCAATAATATTTTATCAAAATAAAAAAGATGTGAAAATTAGGAAAAAAAAAAGGAATGAATAAAATAAATTAAATTTAATAGCTTTCTTTCTTTTTTTTTCTAAAACAATAAATTCAAATGGATGATTATTTATTTAGTAAGAGAAAAAATAATTTAAAAAATTTGCAAAAATTTCACTAAATGATAATAAGGAAAATAAAAACGAAAATTTTTTAAATTTTATTGATTCAATAATAAAAAAAATTTACAGAAATTTTATTAATTTAATAATTAAAAGAAAACAAAGAAGAAAAATACAAAGAAAAAAAAGGAAAAATTGATGATAAGAAAATGAATTAATTTTTAAATAATAAATTTTGAAGGCAAAAAAAAAAAAGAAAAAGAAAAGGAAAATTTAGATTTGGATGCAATTTATCAGATCATCAAGCATGCGATGAATTATGTAAACAAGATTCATACTGGTATGGTCATTGTTCCATATGGGATGGATACGATTTCACTTGTTCCTGCTATCATTATAAAATACCGCTTAATGGTAGCATATGTAAACGAATGCAAAAAATATGCAATGATTATTGCATTAAACGAGTAAGTTAGCATAAATATTTCTTTTATTTTCACTTTTTTTTTTTGTTTGTTGAAATTTAAAAGATTTCTCATTATTATACAAAATATTACAATTTAAAAAAAATAATATATTATAATTAATTTAAGAATAATATAATTTGAAAAAAAAAATTTCTTCTTTAATTAAAAGGTCATAAAATTATGATATTGTTATAATGAAATTTTTTTTTTTTTTTTTTTTGTCATTTATTTATTGCAAAATATTTTGTAACTTATATATTAACATTTTTTTTTTTGTTGTTCAATATATATATTTTTTTCATTTCATTTATTTTTAGATATGATATAATTTGTTAATATATGGAATATGAATGGCTTTAAATTTAAGCATAATTTTAGCATTTTAATTTTCACCAGCAATGTCATAAATTTATCTTATAACTATTTACAATACTTTTCATTTCTATTTAGTAATTAATTTGATGCAGAAATATTTTTGATGTTTTCTTTTTTGTATGAAACATTAAAATAATACCAACAAATATAAATGCCTTCAATAATTTCTATCAATCTAATTGAATTTAGCAAAGCTTAATTTAAAATTTAACATTTATTTGTCAGCATATGAATAAATATTTTTTGCATTTTACTTTTTCATGCTATCCGTTCAATTTCATTTTATCTGTTTTTCGAAGTAAAAAAAAAAAAACTCAAATTCTTATTATATTTTCTAATCTAACCATAATTAGTAATTAAATTTTCTTTCAAAAATAAAAAATTGAAATCAAAGTGAAATATAGTGATGGAAAAAATCATCGCTATGCTAATTGATTGATGGAAATTCTTTTATCTGCCTAAAAAGCCATCTTATTCATCCAGTAATTTCTCTAATCATCACAATTATCATTGATCATATCATAACATCATTATAAGAATTTATCTTTAGTCTTATCACTACGTGTATTACTTTCCTTCCTTTGAACACATTTTAGACATAATTCTATTTTTCATACTTACTATTTTTCCATTTTAAATGGTACTTTCGGGAAGTAAAGCATCCAAGAAAACATTTCGTAATAATAATTAATGTGACATTGAAATTTTAATATTTTTTTTTACTTAAGAAAACACATTCAGCTAATGTTATTCATACCTCATTAATTTCTTCAAAATGAGTCACTGATATTTCTTTTATATAAATTTAGAAAAGAAAAAAAAAAGTAAGAAAATGTTTATTTACCGAATCAAAAAATTTATTCCCATTTCAACAGAAATAACTATTTAGGAATTTTAGGGAATTTTTTAGAATTATTCATTTTTTTTTTCAAATTACACTCTAAAATGACAGGGTAAAAAGTTATCCAATAAATATGTAACTATGGATAAAACATTTAAAAAAAAATAGGTTTAGTTAAAAAAAATCTAAAAACTTTACCTACTCCATGCTATACTGTAACAATTTTGCATGTATGTACTTCTTAAAATTTCATTGTATCTACCAATTTCTAATCTTTTTGAAATATTGTAAAATTTTACTATTACCTATTCATCTATTTAATTTTATCATTTGATCTAATAAACAAAATAAAAACATACAATGAATAAATACATTTGAATTTTAGAGAAACAAAAAGAAAATGAAAAAAAAAAAAATTGAACAGGCAAACAACTAGCTATCTGAATTTAATGATGATGATAACAAACAACACTATTACATTTATTTTTCTTTTTCGCTTTTTTTTTTCGCTATTTCTCTCTTTTTCGAAATGTAAAGCACATTTATCATCTTTCAGTTAACATCAAAACAATAGAAAAAATTTGTAACAAAGTCAAAGGTGAAAATATTAATAAACATTTCATATTTTGTCTATCCAAATTAACTGATAATTTATATAAAAACAATAAATAAACTTATTCGCAGTTTCATTAAGTTGTTCTTTTCCAAATTACATTTTTATCTCCCCTTTTATATTCCAAAAGGAATACAATAATATACTATGCTGTTAATAATTTTATCAAAATTAATATTATGTTCAAATACAAAAAAGCAAATAGATAGTGCTTTAAAATTAATATTCAAATACAAAAAATAGATAGGAAATAGATAAATATATGTGCATTAATTTTATGATATTTTAATATTATGATGCATTGCATAGAATGATATCAGAAAAAAGAAAAATATTCCACATTTCTTCTTGAAATTTCATAGTATCAATTTCAAAGATAAAACATTTATCTAAGCTAATATCTGCAATGAAACAAAATATCTTTTTACTATAAATTTTAAGTGTATCATAAATTTTATGACTGGAATTAATTTCTTTTTCGTTATAATGATAATCATAGCAATGATTTTGTAGGGATTAGAAGGTGGCTACTGCTATGTGTATGCTTCTAGAACAGCTCCAAATGGAACAACTGAATGCAAATGTTTTGAAGAACTATTACAACCTGTCCGGTGATAACATTTCATTAATGATATTAATATAAATGTTGTTCTAGAGCAAGAATATTTTTGTTGCTATCATTTTGAAATGGGAAATTACATATTTTTGTGAGATTTTATTTAAAATTTCATCAAATACATTCTCTGCGTTTCAATTAATTAAAATAACAGACAATTTTTATTGAAATCGAAATGTTAACAAGTATTTCATATGTATGGCATATAAAGTACATTCTCGATGTTGCAGTTCCGGAGAAATTGACGAATTGGTAGTCAACCTAGAAAAGAAATAATTTACTTTAAAGGAAACAGCAATTAAATATGAATATTAAAGTAAGAGATAAAAACTACAACAAAAATGGAAAACCAATAAACCGTCTAGTTCAATCCTAAGTTCATGGAACACGAATCTTCATAGATTAAGGAACTATTGACAAAGAACTTGCCGGAAAAGCGAAAGATGAATGAAATCATTCAACAGAAGGATATGCTCTGGTCTGTGCCGTGATCCCGGCAAAAATTCTATGATTTCTTTTACAGCTGCATATTTCGCAGAACTGAAAAAAAAAATCACTTACTGACCTTCATAATCACAGAAAAATATGATTAAACACCATTTAAAAAAAGAACAATTTGTGATTGGAAAATTTTCAATAAGATTTGCAAAAACTCCGTATAAAACAATAGCAATCACCTCTTTCCCGATATGAAAGCACAGTTTCGTCACATTCCTGCAATAGAATTTTAGCCAATCGGATATTCCGAATAACTTTCTCTCGTAGTTTGTCTTCAAATTTTGATAAACCATTTTTATGCGTTACTTGTATCGGTGCAAACTCTTTGCCAAGCAATAATTCGATATCCGCAGCATCATACTCCGGTAGAGGCACATTGTGAAGATTGAACTCTTCTTTACTATCCACTTTTATGATTTCTAACTAAAAATGAATCAGATACTTTTTATAATTATATCTAATCATGAAAGTAGATCTCACATGAATGTACTGAGTAAAAAAAAAAAAAAAATGCGAAATTAGTCTTACCGTCTTAAAAATGGCTAGCATAGATTCGACACGCAAATACAATTCATCTAAATTCTCTGCCTTGGGTAATCTAAAAATTATCCATTTATTTCGTAATAAAAAGAAAATAATCCGAAAAAAATAGGACAATGAAAAGGTAGCTACAGAACTCTTATCCATTTCCTTTAATTCTTCTCAAGTTTACTAACCAACACTGATGCTTACACTGTGCAAAAAATAAGTTTAAAAAATTGAAACAATACCTTCATACAAGTTATCCATAGAAAATTCGGCTATTCTACATCCTGTACAACTACATCGTATTAAAATGTTAATACTATATTCTATACAAAAATACAACATTCTTTAGTTAACATTCCAGTCTACTATATCAAATAAGAAAATAAGTATTTTACGTAACTTCTACATTCCTTCACAAATGTAAATAACACAAATGTGAAAAAAACATTATAACAAATTATAAATTGAGCATACTTTTTGATAGTATAAAAAGTTTTTCTCAATTTTCTTTCTGCATTAATGAAATCCTTCTTCAATGCAGCATCCATTGGAGTATCACTTTCATATGAGCTATCTATGGAAGATTCAGCTAATTCACGATAATCATGAATAAATTTATCGAACTGAAAAGTATCACTTATTAACTTACTATGTAATATCACATTGTAACATTTCAAGAGTAAGAAAAAAAAAGCAGAGAAAAAATAAGCGCAGTAAAATATTTTCACAGTTCAAAAAACTTGCCACAAAAAAAGCAACTTTAAAAAAGACAACATTACATTCAAAACAGTGATCAATTTGGAAAGAAGAAAAGAAAAGAAAAGAAACCTGTTCCTTGGAATAACCTAATGAATCCATCTTTTTATCACAATCCATATCTTTACTTCCTTCTAAACTTTCTGCCATAATTTGAACTGTAAAATAAGTTGTAATTTAAATAAATGCAAATATACCATAATAAAAAATTTATAATTAAATAGCGGTAATTATATACGTGGACATTTAAAATACAAACTAAATTATATTACTGAATTTTTTTTTAATTAAAAAGAAATTTTCAAACAGATGAAATATTGCACTGCAAAACGTATGTGGGAAACACGTAAACGAAAGTAACAAATAAGAAAGTAAAACGTCTAAGCATTAACGTCGACCTCAAAATTACGTGAATACATGAGGAGGCCATACAATGCAAAATTTATTCCCATTCAAATAAATTAATCATCTTACTTTAGTACATTTATTAATTAATGAAAATTTTTAGAATGATTTATAAAGGATTAGATTAAATTAACGTATGCCATTATAATTTGAATCTTTCTTATTTTCTTTCTTTTTAAACTCAAATGCAACAACATTAACATATATAAATAGTTGAATAGATTTAATGATATAACACATTTGTACAAAAATAATATTATCTTTATTAATATTATAAAAAAACCATAACCAATTATCTCTTTTTATGCTTATATAGTGGAATTAAATCAATCATTAATGTATACAATCATTATTGATATAAATAATAAAATGTAATAAAAACAAAATTTAATTACCATTTATCATCACTTTCGTTGATTGCAGTAATATTCCCAGGCATTAATACATTAAATACTGCTATTATTAGAGTCGAAAAGAAAAATTTTTTTATTTCACAATTAAAATAAGAATAAAACTTTTTATACTTCATAACTGATTGATAATAATTATCATATTTAATAATTATTATATCTCATTCTTGTTTTTCTTTTTTACAAAATATATTCCTCATTACATCATCTAATTTATTTGGCTATTTTTGTGTAGGTTATTGTGGCCAAAAAAAAAAAAAAATTTTTTTTCATAATTAGAACTCTTTACTATTACATGATCTAATTATATGAAGGAAGATTTCATATTTGATTTCAATTAAATTTTAAATGTTATCAAGAAAACATTTATTTTTCGATATATATATATAAAGACAATTAAGATAATGTGACGCTTTGTAATAATTTTAATCATTTACAGTATATGTTTATACAAGTTAAAGAAAAAATTTTTGATCACATTAGTAAAATGATCAGAAAGGAAAAAAAAAAAAAGAGAAAACAAGTAGCAAAATTATGATAATGTAAGATAATTAACTTTGGATTGTGATAATCTATTCAAAAGATTGTAATAACGAAGTACTCTTTGTAACGCTTTGCAAACGTATTCTGTAACGAATTGTTCTTTCACGTGCGTCGTACGTTTCAACACGCCAATATCAAGCAAAAATTCCACAACAAAATCATAACAGTTCCAATTCCTTTTGTCATAATACTGCAAATAAATCATATTTAACAATAATTTCATTATTATCATTCATTTAATTGTCATAATAGCATGCTTTCCGGTAGAATTAAAACCGGAACCACAATTTTAAATTCAAAATATGATTCTACGAACTCTCTCACTAATATAACTTATTTCATTTTATCATGCTTCAAGTTTCTAATAATATATTTTCTAGTATTTCACCGTAATCATCAATCTCATTGGAAAATTGTTCAAATAAATTTCATTAATATTTACAATTTCAACTTCATTTCTTCTTAATATCTTTTAAGATATAGATGCTTCGAGAAAAAAAAAAAGAAGAAATAAATGAAAGTGATTTTTTTTTAAAATTTCTTTCAAAATGGATAATAAAACAAACTTGACGGCTAAATTGGCTGTAGTACTTCTTAACAAATGTTTTCATCCTTTTATCATACATTTCGTTATCAGCGAATTGATAAATACATAGAGAATCATTCCATAATGATTCAATTATTATGCCATTACTGGTATAAGAAAACACGAAACCTTTTGAATTCGATAAACCAATATGAAGATCATCGCCCAGTTTATACCTATATAAATTCCAATATTATATTTAAATTCTTTTACTAGAAAAAAAAAAAGACAAACAAACAAATAAAAGATTAAAATGATTACAAGAAAATTTCAAATAATTAATTAACTGTAAATATGTTATGAAACATTTAAAAAAAGACAAGAAATCTAATAATGTTAATTTTTTTTTTCATAGCTTATAAAATTTAAAAACAAACATTTTTAAAATTTTGAAAACAACTAAAAAAGTGAAATTTTCAATTGTAATTAATAAAAAATGGATAGCATTATCAAAAAAAAAAAAAAAAAAAAAATGAAAACTAACTTGTTGAATGAATTTACAGATGGCTTTAATAAAATACAGCAACGTCCAATAGTTTTAGAACAAAGTGGATTTGGTAGTAAAATAATTTGTGAATTATTAGGAGTAATTTGCATGGCACATTTTGGACATAATTTGCATTCAATAATTGATGATTTTGTTATGCAACACCAATCACAGATATTATGTATCATAAGTAATGGCTTCATTATCTCTAGAATTATCAGTAATTAATCACTAGAAAAATGAGCATATAATGATGATAATAAGAGATAAAAAACTGATAACTTCACCCACTCTCTCTCTCTCCCTTTCTCACCTTCTTCTGATGTAGGCAATAAGTAATTATCAAAACATTTTGCAATATATCCATCAAAATTTTCCAGTTTTGATTAGGGTTTTGTTTTTCAATCACAACAAAATTGTATGTCACACACACGCACACACACACACACACACACACACACACACACACACACACACACACACACACACACACACACACATGCATACAACACAGTCTCTTCTCATTAATTTAGAATAACATTCACTTTTCTTCCATTATTCATTTTCTATTAAATATCTTCATAATTAAAAGAAATCAGTCAGTTGGAAAATCAAATTAATCAGAAAGATTTTTCATTTATCAGATTCCAACATTTAGTATCATGCGACAAAGGAAAAAGACGAAATTATTTATCATACTTGACATCTCGATGAATATCTAAACAAAAAAAAAAAAAAAAAAAAATGAAATCTCACTGACTACATAATCACAGGTTGGGCACATGA